ACAACCATGTGCCCAAGATGTGATTATGATCATGCATGGTAAGGTAATGCTTATCATTGTTTTGGAAATTAATATTTTTCATAAAGGTCCAGCAAAATTTTTTTTTTTTTTTTTTCATGTGCCTTTTGCCTCTAAAATTACATGCAGTTTTTTGGGTACCATAAAATAAAGACAATTTAAATTCACCAACTCTACAACCCCACCAGATAGTTTTCTTCCATTAGATTCCCTGCTCTTTTGTCATATATTTCTTTCTCTTTTTCATTTTATAATTAGGAACAAAGAAAAAAGTTGGGCAAATAATTACACACTAATTTGGAAATATTTGATTATGAGATGATCATGCAAATTATATTTTATTCCTGGAGACATGTAGATATGCTTTTCGGGAGTCAAGAATAATAATGGAGAATGCCAATTGCAGGCCAGCTGTTCCAGATCAGCTCAACTTTTCCTGCGGGATCATTTGTCTTGAATTATGAGAGTTAGGAGAGATACAATTAAATTTTCTTTAAAGAAGAAAGAGAAAGATTAAATTTTATATTTTTTATACTCAATCTGAAAATATGATCTTTAATAGTAAATATGAAAATACGAGAGAGCACATATTATGACACATTTCAAGTTCATAATCAAATTCTTCTTCTATTGATGTGGATGTGTTAAGATGCAATGAAAACAAATTATGCTATTTTAAAATGAAGTTTATGATCAAATTTGGTTAAAATTAGTTAAAATTTCAAATTCAATTCTTTCAAGTTTATGTGTGCATAAATATGCGTGGGATATTAGCTTTATCAAATAAACCCCCGACTTAGTTTAAGTTTTGAGTTGTTAAATTTATGTTTTATTGCATGTGAAATGACTTGATTGAGTCTTATGCAATACGTTTGTTTCACATCTTACCTCAAATGTCAATGGTAAAACTAATAATAAAGACTTATTGCTAAATTTATCATTTTATCCAAATTTTCTTTGTAATTTTGTTTAAATTTTATTTTCTAAAAATAATTAAAGTAAAGATTCAATATTCTTTGCTTTCTTATCCCTTTTCCTTTTCCTTATCTTTTTCTTCATCTTTATAAAAGATCGTGTCAATGTCTAAAAGATAAAGCTTTGGCCCAAATTGAGGGCCAAGATTTCACTTTCTCTATCCTTGATTGGGAAAGTTGTTATGTGGCCTCCAATAATCATTTTCTACAATTAATTGTAATTATCAAGCATATGTGATGCAGATTAGGTAGCTTTTTTATTTGGTTTAAGAATTTGTAAATTATAAAGTTAGTATCAGCTAATTAAGCTGTTGTGCTGTATATTGCCAAATTATAATCACATCATTGATCATTCTTCAGATATATTAAAATTACTTATTAAAAAAAATGTATAAAACTTTTTTAATTTAACACTGTATAAATTGATCCCTCTTATACAGTACAAAATTTAAAAAATTACGTATTATTTGAACAATTGATTTCAATATATTTAAGGGATAAAATAGACAAGTAAAAAATAAAAAAATTGATTTAATATTATCATTTAGATATATTAAAATCAATAATTAAAAAAATATGTAAAATTTTTTTAATTTTATACTGTGTATATATCGTGGCAGACAACTATAAGAGCATGACGGGGCCAAGTTTTGAAATCCCCTTAATATATATTATACACTAATAATTCATATGTATCTGTATTAAATTAAAATGGCTTTCACATTAAAATGTTACTTTTTTTTTTTAACTTAATTCTATATGCATGATAATTTAAGCGAAATAATTACATTATTATTGATCTATTTATTACATTCACAATCATTATTCATAAATCCTTAAAAGTAATATATTTGTCATAAATATTAAGTCATACTCATTTAAACTTATACAAAAAACTCATTAACTTTCTAGTTTTCTCTATTAAGTTTCAAATCTTCAACCAAGAACCAAAAGTCAATTGTTTTTTAAGTCGATTACACTTATCTTTATATATCTTTGTAACCGTTTTCAATTTTTTTTGTCTGATAAATTCTTAAATGAATTATGTTAATTGTTTGACTGTTCATTTTTCTTGATATATCTCTGTTTGATAAATATATATACTATAAATGTGAGTAAGAATGCTGGACAATCCAAATACATGAAAAATTTTTAAAAAATGAGTATACACGTATTATTATTTGACACTCACTCCTAAGTTAGAATAATAAAGAAAATGAAATATATATATATATATATATAATCTTAGTCGATTTCTTCAAAACAAAATATCAATATCCATCAATATATATATATATATATATATATATATATATATACACTAAAACTTGAATGTTTGCCAAAAATCTCACTAAAAGATTCTTTCCACAATTAATTAAAAAATAGTGAATAAATTCACTACTTCATCCTAAGATGATTAATGTTATTGGAATTAATTTATGACTGAAATTTTAATATATAGTTTTAAATCGAATAGGAAGTTAAATAGAAATTAATTAAGAAAGATAAAATGATGTTAATATATTTTGATCTTAAATTTGGTTAAAAAGACGTGTATAAATATATGATGAAAGTAGTGGACATTTTTGCTTTATTTTAACAGTGAAGAGAATCTTTTCAATTATTTCAATTACCAAACTATAATAAAATTGTGATTATAAAGTAGAAATGAAGACAAAAGTGGGAGAGATCGGGAGTGTCAGAAATTAATCAATTTGCTGTTTTGTTTCGGTTCCCTAGGTTTTGTATTTGCCCCTTGTAAGAAGTAGGGTAACAAAAATCTCACTCCATTCTTATTCTTTTATTTCAACTGCAAAAACTGTAATTACAAGATAATTTCCTAGCTGTTATTTGAGACACGTAATTCATTTACAATTCTTTTTATTATAACTTTATAATAGTCTAATTATAATGAAAAATTTTATAAGAGTCCACTACTTATAAATATAAGTTCCAAATAAAATTTTGATGATATGTTTCCTTGTTCAATTGTCATCACTTGAGCTTATTTAAAGTGACAAAAATAAGGTGAACGATGGATTCCAAATTCGAGTCTATAGACTCTTTCATTTTTCAGTAAGAAAATTTTATTACTTAAATTAATCCGTGTGATAAATTGTAATTCATAGAGTAAATAAATAAATAATGGTTTGACATCATTTTTTATTTTGTTTTCAATTTTTTTTTTTGAAAACAATAATAGAAAACATGTTTGGCAACTTTTTTTATTTTCATAAAATGAAAACAAAAACAAAAATTTCAAAATTGTTGCAAGTAGGAATTTTTTGTTTTCATAAACATGTTTTCATTTTTAATACTATTGAAAGCTAGAATTCATTAAATATTAATTAGTTGAATAGTTTTTATTTAATAATTTAATATTATTAAAAACCTAAAATAAGTAATATTATTGGATTTAGTTTAAATTATATTAATGCATATTATTATTGAATATATAATTTAAAAATATATTAATATAATATTAAATAATTTTATTGAATATTATTGAATTTTTTATATAATTATTCGTTTTTAATATGAGTTGGATTGATTTTTTCAATTATTTTATGTAATTATAATATTATTTAATGATATTAAATTCTAATATGACTAAATAAAAATATTTATTATTACTATTGAATTTTATTAAATAATATTATTTAATATTAAGTATATAATACAATTTTATTTAATAAATACAATGTATTTTTATTTAATTAAAAAAATTTGTTTTATGTATTGAATTGTTATATCTGAAATAATTTAAGTATTTTTTTCAATATATTACAACATTACTTGCCAAACATATTTTATATTCAAAAAATCGAAAACAAAACTTAATAAACAAATAACAATTTTTTTTAAAACAAAAAAATAGAAAACGATCACAAACGATTCTGTAGATAAATGAAAAAGATTTTTTTCTTTGTCTTTTTCGAATATTTGAAAATAAAAAAAAAAAAGAAAAAAAAACTTAATTAGGTATCACGCAGCCATCTCTGAAAAATCCTTTCGAATATTTAGTAGTTTGTAATTGGATACCTTCGTATCTTCGGATTAATTGATTTTGGCATTGCACGTTATTTGTTGTCATTTTCAACTTATTATTTAATGAAGGAGAGAAGCAGAGGTAGAGGGTAAGAGTAAAACGAAGCCCACCAGCTAGCTAATAATGAAATTATAATTAGAACCCCACTTATCTAACCCATGTGCATGAAATCGAAATTTATTTACAAATACATATGTAAAAAACTTCACCAATGAAATTAATTATTTTGATGAATTTTCCATCTAGACCAATAATTTTACTGTTTGAGAAATCTACTCCAATTTTCGTTTTCTCTCTATCAAATTTTAAATCATGTATATGAAAACAAAATAATGCAAATTTAAGATTTAGTTAATTCTAAACAAAGTTTAATAAAAACAGATATTGTGTATGTATATATATATGGGGATTTGTGAATTACACAAATGGTCAAAAGGTTTAAAAGTCATATGCTATCTCTGTTTCGTATGCTTCTTTATTTTAGTATGAAAATGTTTCTTTACTTTATTATTTTCATACTAATCAGCTATAAACATTTTTTCATTTTATTTTCTTATATTTGTACTCTTTAATCTCTTATTCAAATTTTATTTTTTACTTTTTTAAAAAGAAAAATGTAAAAGCGCGGTTAAAAAAATTTTAAAACCCAATTAATCATTTAAAGAGATAGTAACAAATAAAAAAATTAACCCCGAAAAGATTACCGAGGAAATCGATATAACTAATTGATTGGTGGTAACATCAAATGGCCAAATCCATGATTGCACGTTGCTATTGATTTCTCTTTTTATCTTTTTTTTTTTTTTCTTTTTGTAAAGCGTTTTCTCTCCCCGATTGCATGAAATTGAAAAGGCCATGCTAATTCATGCAGAGAAAATTTTGGATCATTTGACAAAAGAAAATGAAATTCTTTCCAACCGCATCACACTCAAAACCAAAGAACAAAGAATTTTTAAAGAAAAAAGGAAAACGTGAACCATTTTTTTTAGAGGAATGGATCTTTTATATTACGGATCAACCCATGCATTTGCAAAAAGGTTGGAAAACACATACATATAGTATTTTTTTTACTATAATAATAATAAAGCAGACATAGAAATCGGCAGACCACTGGATAATACAACTATCAAATACATGAAAACGATGAACCCTTTCCCTTCTACTTTGTCTCCGTTATTTTTTTCTTCTCTTCAACGAGGAGACTAGTCTCCCTCCCTTGGCTCTCTCTCTCTCTCACTTTCTTTATTTCTTCAAACCATATTTTGTCCCTTTATTTGGATCACACACTTCTCTTCTCCTGCATCAACACATTGAGTTTTTGTCATTAAACGGATTAAAATCAAACAAGAAAAAAATGTGAAATAATGCACCTTGAAGATCGTGCAAAAATATTTATGGGAAAATGTATGTTACCTTGGTACGTTCAAAGCCGTTGCTTAGTAGTGGTGAGGAGGAGGTGGTGATGAGTAGACATAATGGGGTGGAGGTGGTGGAGGAGACTTGTATTTGTATACCGGAGGGGGTGGTGGGGGAGACTTGTACTTGTAAACTGGAGGAGGTGGTGGGGGAGACTTGTACTTGTAAACTGGAGGAGGTGGTGGCGGAGATTTGTACTTGTACGGGTGCTTGGGAGGTGATGGTGGTGGTGGTGGTGGAGACTTATATTTGTAAACTGGGGGTGGTGGGGGTGGAGATTTGTACTTATACGGGTGCTTGGGTGGTAATGGTGGAGGTGGAGGTGGAGACTTATATTTGTAAACTGGGGGTGGTGGGGGTGGAGATTTGTACTTATACGGGTGCTTGGGTGGTAATGGTGGGGGTGGAGGTGGAGACTTGTACTTGTAAACTGGTGGTGGTGGGGGTGGAGATTTGTACTTATACGGGTGCGTGGGTGGTGATGGTGGAGGTGGAGGTGGAGACTTATACTTGTAAACTGGTGGTGGTGGGGGTGGAGATTTGTACTTATACGGGTGCTTGGGTGGTGATGGTGGAGGTGGAGGTGGAGACTTATACTTGTAAACCGGTGGTGGTGGTGGGGGTGGAGACTTATACTTGTAAACCGGTGGTGGTGGTGGGGGAGACTTGTATTTGTAAACAGGGGGAGGAGGAGGAGGAGATTTGTACTTGTAAAGGGGCGGAGGATAGTGCACTGGTGGAGGAGGTGGTGGAGACTTATACTTGTAAACTGGAGTTGGTGGGGGAGGAGACTTGTACTTGTAAGGCTTCTTGGGTGGTGGTGGAGAGTACACAGGAGGAGGAGGAGGTGGTGACTTGTAGTGGTAGGGTGGTGGTGGGTACTCCTTAGGAGGTGGAGGAGGAGATGAGTAACGGTAGTGTGCTGTGGTTTCAGAAGGCAAGCTGAGAGACACTGCGAGCACTAGAAGAGTGACAAAGAGAGAGGTCATTGATGACCCCATTTTCCCCATTTTTACTACAAAGTGGGTTTTGTTTTGTGCTCTTAAGCAACCTCTTGGCAGCCTTTATATAGATTTTGTCTTTACCTTCTAATTATGGTAAAATCTACTTAAAAATTGTTTAACCTTTGTCAAACGCCAAGATAAAAAATTAAAAAAAAAAATTTGCAAATTGTCCGGGTTTGAACGGTTTTCATGAATGTAGGGGAAACAACTCGACAGGTTCCAATCGTTGAATACGGCAACTTCGATTGAGGTTTCTAGCTAATCAGAGAATAAAGTAAAAAGTACAGCTGTCCATTTTTATGATAATGATCGGTTGAATTGATAAAATTTTAATATTTCGATTCATTTAAGTTAGCAATTTGTAAATCCGAATTATAAATTTTTTTATAACATGTGTAATCTATTCTGCTCTTGAAATAAAGTTTCCCCTTATTCTAAATTTTTATGTATAAAAAAAATACTATAATTTATATAATGAATGTCATAATTTAAAATAATCTTAGTAATACGTGTTATCTAATCCTCTTTCATGTTAGACATGATTTCAAATATGATATAAATAATTTTTACATAAACACAATATGAATATACGAATAATACGAATAATATAAATATAAATATGACACATTTATTATATATGTTACACGTGATATGATATAATTAATATTGTAGACACCTCGATTTATCTAAAGTTTATTTATTTTTATTAATTAAAAATAATAATAAAAAATAAAAAAGGTAAAAACGAAAAATTAAAAAAAATTCTAAGTGGTTGGATTTGTTTCGGATTGTTTATGTGGGATTATCAAAGTTGGGATAAACTTAAAATTGAAGATTGAATGGATCGAAACTCCTTTTTAATTTAAGATTCTGAAATCTTGAACCCTATAAATACAGTGAAAAGAGAGATCACAAAAACACTAATCACAAAGATCAAAAAATTACACAAAGGTCAGAAAAATACACGAAAAGTAGTCAGAAGTCAGTTGGAAGATTTTTGGATTAAAAAAAAAGATTTTTCTGAAAATTTTTTTGAAAATTTTCAATTTTTGATTAAATTTTTAGGTGCTGGTTGAATTTTTTTGTGAACTTTCCAACGCCGATTGAATTTTTCGACGAACTAACCCAGATTTTGATGACACTTTTCAAAACCTAGTAAAGATTCAACTAGAGTTCATCCGAGAGGAAGAGAAAAGAGGGAGAATAGAGAGAGGGGGAAAGGAGAAATCTGTGAAAAAAGACTGAATTAGGCCTTTTATACCCTTTGAAAATATTGTTGTTTTGGAGCTTAAGAAACCCTAAGATCCATGTGTTTTTATTTGGATGACTTGACCTGAGCACAACCTGCTTCTGCCGACCCACATACCAGTCAATCAATTGAGCTGAGTTGAGCCACCAAGTCGTATCCTCCGAGCCGCTTTTTGTGCCTGGAACCGAGCCACCAAAGTCGCTGAGTCGAGCTATTTCCCTGTTTTGGTATTTTTATCCTTTTTTATTAATTTTATTTATTTTTTTAAGTTTTTTTTGCATGAATAAATTTTTAGAAAAAAAAGTATAAAAAAGGTATAAAATGTTTTTTTGAGAATAAATATTATTTATCCAATGATAAAATTTTTAAAAATTTTAAATGGTAAATTTCTATAAATTTCCTATGTGAGAAATTTTTTTCTAAATTTGTTTCAAATGATGGAATAATTTAGATAAAATTTCAATAACAATAATTATTATTTATTTTCAATAAAAAAATAAAAAATAAAAATTTTGGTTGAAAATATGTGACAATTATCCAATGATGAGATTCTTAGAAATTTCAAATGATAAATTTTTTAAGAAATCTTTAGGTGAGAAATCTCTTTAAATTTGTCTCAAATGGTGAAAGAATTTAAATGAAATTTCAAGAAAATAATTGTTATATTATTTTCTTTCCAAAGATAAAACAAGAAAAAAGAAAATTTTCTAAATTGACCTAAATGGTGAAAAATTTTGAAATTAAAATAAAAAATAAAAAGAATTTCTAAATATGCCCAAATGGCAAAAAATTTAGAAATTCAAAAAGAGAAAATATTTCTAATTTGGCCCAAATGGTGGAATAATTAGATATATTTTCAATAATAAAAATCAAAATAAAAAAATAATTAAACTTTTTTTTTCGACAACGAAGCTTCTTCAAGAAAACAAATGTGATTCTTAAATACTCTTGAAGTGAGAAAACATTTTTAAGAGTTTTACTAGATTAATGGAAGAATCTTAAAAGTTATTTCTAATATTCAATATAAAATTTAAGACCATTAAAATTAAGACCTTAGGATAAATTTAAATTAAAATGGTACCATCCTGTGGATGGGCATGTGGGGGTGCTATAACCTTTCTTACATGTAACCAAACTCTCAAATCTTGTTTTAGTTAGTAGACCCAAACCTATTCTTTTAAGAACCTTTAATCAAGCTTATAAGCTTTTTAAAAGGGTAGATTCCTTAAATGGCCAATCCACCTAGTTAAAAAAGATTAGTGATGACTCCTTTTGTTAAGTTTAGCTATAGATTTTTGGATCTATATGTTATGATAGTTTGGCAATTTCACGAGGGAATAGCCATAGAGAGTCAAGCCATAATTTTTAAATTTATCTTATCATTTAGTCTAATGATTTTAAATTGTAATTATTTGTTTACTAACGCTTTTTCCTTTTTTTCTTGTATTTTATTTATGGGGTTGAAAATGTTATGTTCCTTTACACCTATTGTCACATTCATTTACATTACATGAACTCTATACCCGAAGTCCGTCCCTTTTAGAAGGGAGTAAAGTACTTACACTCTCATAAGATGATAATCTCCATAATGGCTAGCGAAATACTTCTACTCAAATTGAATCTTTTCCGTTGGTAGCCTATAATGGGTAAAGATTGGACTGCTTTACTAGTCTGTGATAGACAATAATATAAGGAACAATTTGAGAACTTTTAGTGGTTAAAGTCACCTAGCTCTGGTTATAGTTTACACTTAAAAGGCCAGCCTTAAGATAGAGCCCTTCTTATCTAATGATAAATGTATCTCGAAATCAAGACATAAGAAGGAACAACTTGTATATTTGTTTGATTTTGTGCATCTGCATCATATCAATATCATTTAATTTCATACATCATTTTCATTGTCATATGTAACATTATGCATTTACATCATTTTCATATTAGATTTCATCCATGAAAATGTACATTTCATTTATGCATCAACATATCATGCATAAAGCATAGCATTTCTAATAATACATAATTCTGGTACTCGAGGTTCAATGATATCTCCACCAACCAAGAATCTCACACAATCAACTCACTAATATAATACAAGAGCTTGAACCAAACAAATGGAATAAGAAAATGTCAATCGCCTTGAAAAGATAAAGAAAGCTCAAGAGAAGCTAAAATGAGAGTTGAGTAAAATCTTGGATGCTTTGAATAAGTTAAACAAAAAAAAAAGAATAGAAAGAAATACTAGCCAGTAGAACCATCCGTCACAAGAGGTGGATGACCCTTTGTACCCTCTTAGTTTTTTATCGCATCAAGCCTGATCCACATAAAACCCACCACCACTATAGTTCACATATCGATAGGGTATACATAACCCAAAATGCCATCAGCTTTAACTTTAGAACAATACTAGAATTATGTAAATCATATCTTTACTGAGAAGGTAATAAAACCAGTTCAAGTATCTGATAATTGACGATGTAAAAGAGAACAAAAATTAAAACCAAAAGGGGACGAGTCGTTGAGGGACTCGATAGCTAACTAGAAGATTAGTGTACTGGAAAAAAGGTTGTGAGCCATAAAGGGAGTTAGTTTTTATGGTTCAGTAGATGTTGCTGGGCTCTATTTAATCCCAGATGTGATTATTCTTCTAAAGTTCAAAGTGCTAGAGTTTGAAAAATATGATGGTACAAAATGCCCAAAGATTCACATTACCATATACTACCAAAAGATGGTTGCCCATGCTAATGATGAAAAGTTGCTAATGCATGTTTTTCATGATAGTCTTATGGGCTCTACGACTAGGTGGTATGTCCAATTGGACAGGACTCACATTCATTCTTAGAGTGATATGGTCTATGACTTCATTAGTCAGTATCGACATATCATAGACTTAGCCCCTAATCACTTGTCTTTACAGAATATGAAAAAGAAGATGACTGAATCATTTAGAGAATATACCTAAAGGTAGAGGGACATAGCTACTCAAGTGTAAGCTTCTCTAACTAAAAAAAAAACTATAGTGTTGTTTGTCGGCACATTAAAATCTTCTTATTATAAAAAGATGATAGAGAATGCAATAAAAAATTTCATCGATATGGTGATCTCAGGCAAAATCATTGAGAATGCCATTAAAAATGGCAAGTTAAAAAGAGGGGAAACCAAGAAGGCACTAGAGAAGAAAAAGACTGAAGCTCAAGCTATGAGCTTTGACAGATAGTTTAGGGGATATCAACCTTATCCACCATAAGGTTACTCTCATATTATCCTACTGTGAATAATAACTCATCCTACCCATATCAGCCAGCCCTATTTCCATCTTATCCATAAACATACTAGCCCATTTTCAGCCTCTAAGCTCTCGTCTATAGCCTTAACATTCAACCATACACAAGACCTCAAATTCATCTTGCTAACCTAACAAATGGTTCACAAGAGTTATGAACTATCCAAAAAAACTCGTATTTGATCTAATCCCGATGAATTATATGAAATTATACCAAAACCTCTATAACAACCACTTGATTATCTCTAACCATTTCGAGCCACTCAAGCCATCCTATCCTAAATGGTATGATCTTATAGCTCACTGTGACTACCACTATGGAATTACTGGTCATTCCATGAAGAATTGCACTACCCTTGATGTCAATAAAAATCTTTCACTTGATCGCATGGGGGCATAAGGATGTTAAGGCTAGTAGAATTTTGCTTGTCATTTTAGGTTTTCTTTCAAAATAATGTTAGGAATTCTTTCATGCAATAAGATTTCATTTGTTTTCATTTCAATAAAAGACAAGTTGATGTATTTCATTACATTTTTTCTTTTATCCAACCATTATTCTATGCTTTGTTATTTGTCATATATTTTTATTCCCATTCT